GGCCAAATCAGAAGAAATGGTGATTAAGAGAAGAGAAAGGGGAGGTATAAGTTCATTCAAAAATCTAAGGTGTAATCTTGTCAAATATTAGGGTACTTTTATCCTTTCCCTCAATTGAACTGCTATGAGCACCTTAATAACCTTGAGAAGTACTCCCTTCCAGCGCTTGCTGGAACCTCACAGCCTCTCAGCTCCTCCTCCCATTACCTCCTATCCAATCCAGTCCAATCTCCTTGTTTCAACTAGTAAAACGTGTGGTAGAAAAATGCAAACTCAATGATGGTGAACTAGTAGGTCACTGGTCCTTCTGTTTCAGCTGCTGCACATGAGGATATCAGTTGCAGGGCACCACATTCTAACCTCTTCAATGTAATGTAGAGATTATTGTTACTGTTATCTTAATGGAGGAGGAACAAAACCCAAAGATGCTTTACTAACATGCCCACAGTCCCACAGTTTAAAATGTGTATATATTGTATATAATCTTGACTATAGTAAACATTACCTAATATGTATACACTGAGATTCATTCAGTAAGCAACAAGCATCACTACATTCTAGGCTCCATGACTGGCCCTTAGAAACCGAGGCTGCAGGGTACCGAATTAGAACTAGAAAGATTCAAGTTGAGATTGTTTATCTGCTGGTGAAATGTAGAACAATGAGATATTGGGGAATCCTTTCAGAAGATCAAGATGTGGGTAATAGAATTAAGAAGAGTGACAGGAAGGGGACAGAGGAATCTGATGGGAAATTGACTCAACCTTGTTGAGTTCAGTCAGGAGGAACCAGCATAGAAGCTGGAAGGAATAGAAGATCCAAGGACTAAAAAAGGGACAGCTAATGTTGGAAAGCTGCAAAAAGTCTGTGGTCCCAAACTGGAATATAGGAGCTCATAGTTCTGCGCATGGAACTATCTTGTAATCAAGTGAAAGTCATTCAGGATAAGAAGGTCAAATCCAAAGGTCAAAACGATGGCAATGGCAGCAACTAAAGTAGAAAGAAAAGGTGACCTAAGTGTTCAGTGTTCAATGAGGGAGAGTGATGATGAATAAGAGATGGGCAGGAAGGAAGAAGAGCAGAGGAAGGGACAGAAAGGCCCTTAAAAAGAAGAGGATTGTGTACCCTTTTCCAATAGAACCTGCATACAATAATTTTATTATTATAACAGGATTAGCATCTTTAAAGTGGTAGCTAGGTAAGTTTTCACTTCTTGGTGCAGGAAGTCATGTTTTCTAGCAGATGTCTGAACCATATAACATTATAGAAGAGAAAGGAGGCAACCCCTTGTGATAGAGAAGGATATGACCCAGGACGCTCTTATAGGATTGGAAGCAGAAAGGAAAGTCGGCTGTATCTGGTCCTGACCATTGAGGTGTAGAAGAAAGATACAGGCAAGATGAGAAGACCTGATGCATGAAACTATTACTGAACCAATGTGGGGGGAAGAACAGAGTATTATGGAAACATCCAGGTTGCTATGGAAGCTCTAATACACTGATTAGTGACAAGAAGTACATCTTTTTTCTTTTTCTTTTCTATCTTTTTTGTTGTTGTTGGTGGTGGTGGTGGTGGTCATGGGGCTTGACCTCAGGGCCTGAGTGCTGTCCCTGAGCTTTTTTTGCTCTATCACTTTGAGCCACAGCACCACTTCTAGTTTTCTGGTGGTTAATTGGAGATAAGAGGCTCAAGGACTTTCCTGTCAGGGCTGGCTTTGAACCATGATGCTCAGATCTGAGCCTCCTGAGTAGCTAAGATTACAAGCGTGAGCCACCAATGCCCAGTGACAGGTAAAATTTTAAAGTTCATAAACATGTAGAATATGCAGCAGAGGAACAGATAGTTCAATGGCTGAGCTGAGTCAGGGCTCTGAGCTTCCTGTGCTCTCCTTGGGCTTGTAGGCAGCAAAGAGGTTCTCACATGCCCCAGGCAGGAGGGGAGGAGATGTGAACCAGCCCATAGGTGACCCAGGATAAGGGCAGTGTGCAAGCAAACAGCTCAGAGCAAGGGCATGGGCACACAGACTCCAGGGGCCACCACTCCCTGCCCAGCAGGAGCTCAAGAAGAACAATAAAATGTGGGCTTGTCATGTGACCCCCTAATTAGCATTCATGGAACCCTTTTCTCTCCTGCCAGTAGATACCTCTTAAAGAGGAAAACAAGAGGAAGACATAAAAAAGACGGTATTTACCTAAAAGGATCACACTATCCAAACATAGGTTATTAAAGTTTACCTTCTCAACACTCCACAAACTCTAGTATTCATTGTAAAAGATAAACTCATATTAGAACCTACAATTTCTTGGCAAAATTTCCGTGCACGCAATGGTAAAAAGTATTTCTTCCAAGCTATCATTTCCACTAAATATCGAAATACTCTAAAACTGAATTTCCTAGATGGTGATTTTATTTTATTCCTTCTGGTCATATACTCCTACACCATCAAATAAAGCTTCTGCTCCAGGATTACTGGATTCCAGCCGTTTTTCATTATTTTCAGTTTATATCCTTTCCTAAACTTATGTAATTCAAGCTGGATGTACTTAGCTTCTTCTCTTTTAAGTTTCTTTAACCTAATTTTTTCTCTGATCTTCTTGACCTCTTAAAAAAAACTTTTAGGTATAGAAGCAACCAGAAACGAGTACTAGGTTACTGGGATCACTTTAAAATAAAGTAGGGGCTGTGTGCAGATGCTCATGTCTATAATGCCAGCTATCCAGGGTAGAATAAATAAGATATTTTCAAGATATTTTCCAGAGACTATCCATTAACATACGCTTTAGCAGGAAACAGAAAATCAGTACTGAATTCACTGAAAGGAAACATATAAAAGGAGAATTGTTGATTCCCAATGGTTTTGTTTCATAGGCCTGGAAGTTCTTTTTACTCTAAAAAAGAATGTAAAATAATAAGCAATATAAGATCTACCGTAAGGTTCCACCAGGCACCTTCTCAGAATGAATTACCTTGGGCTTAATTATACCCATCCACCTGTTGGGTGGAATTCTCAGCAGGATTCTCTTGGAAACCACTGATAAACTGGGGCACCATACAGGGTCTATAGAGGGAAACTCATTCTGACTAATCAGTATCATAATATCATACAAACATATAAATAATACAGAGGTATGTGACTTTTCAAATCATGTCAGGCAGCTTTGTCACTAATATTTCCTAAACGAAAACTGATACATAAGTCCTATTAACTGTGACAACACTAAAACCATTAGTCTAAATCTGCTGCATTTCTGTTTGTAATGTGAGGTGCTCTAACATCTCTTGGGTCCTTCAGAATCAAGATTCTTCTCAAAGAGGAGGAGGAGGAAGATGAGGAATAACAACATTAACAGATATAATATACAAGAAGTGAAATGCAAGTCATGTAGTACTGTGTTTTAATTGCTACTGTTAGCATTCATTTGTATATGTGTAAAAGAAAAAAATGTTCATTTTTGGGGGGGGTCCAGTCATGGGGCCTAAACTCTAGGCCTGGGCACTGTCCCTCAGCTCTTCAGCTCAAGGCTAGCACTCTACCACTTGAACCACAGCGCCACTTCCAGCTTTTTTTCTTTTTGCTTATGTGGTGCTGAGGAATTGAACCCAGGGCCTCAGGCATGCAAGGCAAGCGCTCTGCCACTAAGCCACCTTCCCAGCCCAAAAAATGTCTGTATTTACCTCTAAGACTTCTTGGAAATCGCTAGTGGTGTATGTCTGGCAGAAAATGAACAGGCAATCTCCAAATACCAAAACAAACCAGTCAGCAAGGCAGCAATCAGAAACTACCAGGGTTATATCAAAGGAATTCAAAATCCAAATTGAAGAGGCTCCTGATCATTAGAGATGCCAAATGAGCGCAAAATCCAGGAGTTCATGCAGAACTAGAAGGGAAGAGGACCTAAACTTTGGGAAATACCAATATTTAACAACCAAGTAGAGAATATTCTAGTAAAGAAGAAACAGAGTGAGTGGCAAGAAGAAAGCAGAAATACTTATATCACGAAAACCCATGAAAACAGCATTTCAATAAGGGAATAGTCATTAATATAAATTATGTGAGAATTGAAACCGATCTAGGGACTAATGCTGTGGCTCCAGTGGTAAAGTTTTTACTAGTAAACACCAAAGGTCCTGAGTTCAAATCCTATGGGGTTAGACACTGTATTTGTAAGTACAACATTTCTGAAATAAATTAGATTCAATCTGGTGTATGTGTGTGTGTGTGTGTGTGTGTGTGTGTGTGTGTGTGTGTGTGTGTGTGTATTGGTAATAATAGCAATGAAGACAACTATGATGTGCAAACTCAAGTCTGGATGTCTCAATCATCTCAAAAATGTCTTGAGGATTCATACAGATTGTTAAAATTCCATTGAACACCTGAAAATAGTAAGGCACAGATGAAGACCTCTTATTAGCCAGGTGCCAGTGGCTCACTTCTACAGCCCAAGTACTCAGAAGGCTGAAATCTGAGGACTGAGGTTCAAAGCCACCTGAGACACAAGAGTCCACAAAACTCTTATCTAGAATTGACCAGCAAAACAGCTGCACTGGAGGTGTAGTAAGTGTAGTAAGTGGTAGAAAGCCATGTATGAATGAAACAACTGAACAAGAGTATGAAGTACTGCCAATTAGTGAGAATGAAAATGGAGAGTGTGAAGTAATTGCAGTTCAGGATCAATATAGTATGAGAAAATTTCATTACAGGTAAACAGTTTTGTCTGTCTGCACACAATGTATGTTTTTAATATGTTTTTTGAGAAAGCTTCCATCCTACTTTTCAAATCCTTGTTCCTGTTCTGTCTTTACTGTTGCACAACATAAGGGTTCCACTGGATTAGCTTCTGTGCCTCCAGCGTATCTTCAATCCAATTCACTCTGCCAAACGATGTCTAAATTTCTCTCTCTGAAGCACTGCCCTATGACATGAGTCCTTGTAACAAAATTCTTTGGGTCTGACCAACTACCAAAGAGAGTTCAAAGCCATTTGCAGTAAAAGCCCTTACTAAAACTGCTGTTTGCTGTGGCCACTGCTGCTACACCACTGGGAAACCCCTTGACTTTCCTTGCCATTTCCTCCTCCATAGCAGTCATCTCTTGCACCTGTCAACATCTTAGCTGTTTTAAAGAGCACTATACAGCTACTCTCATGCCAAAGTATGTCCCATTCAGCCTTTCAATGACTCCCTTCTCTAGCTTCTTCTATTATCTCTTCTGCTTCTTTTCTAGAATTGACAAGATTTACCTGCATTCTATACAGATTTTGTCTGTTTCACATTCCTTGAAGACAGGGTGACTATTTTATGCTTTATATATACTGTAGAAATCCCTAAATCTAGTACTTGCTTGAAGTTTGGGACAAAAAAAAAAAAAAACCTGATTCTGAGAGTCTCAATAGACTAGGCTAAGCAACCTGTCCCAGTTCTACAACTAAGGAGATGAGTAGTGGTGAAGAGCAAAGAAAAGAGATTTATTCAGCATAGTATTGTTGGGAATACAGAAAGTGAACATTTCAGCCTACTTCTGGGGCACTGACATTAAGGAAGAATTAGAAATGGGGCAAAGGTTATGCTACTTATGCAATTTTACCAAAGTTGTGATCTGGTTGATCATGATCACAGTTCTGGTTTTACAAGGTGGTTTGAAGAAGTCTTATTATTTTTGAGGACAAGTCAGTTCCCAGGAGAGGATTCTTCCTCCCTGGAGAGTGATCTCATCATGGAATGATCTGTCTGTGAGGCTCTGCTGATCCTGGACTCCAAAATGACTGCAGGTCACTGCAGGAGACCTCAATGCGCATTTTCATCAATCTAAACAGAGAGTTGCAGAAGCCAACCATACAATCCCTCAGTTACTCTTAATTTTGGGCCTTCAGCCATGAAGAATTGGGAAGGGGAGTGACATAGGTTAGGTGCCAAGATGCTTCTTGAGTGTTCATGATGCCTACTTGTAGAATGAAGCAGATATTGGACTCAAAGACCAGGAAAACAAATGCAAAATAATGGATCCATTAATCACCTCACTGAAGTATTTACCAGACATACAAGACTTCATGAGGTGTTTTCCATGTCTGGGTTATTATAGAGTATGTGACAGTTAGCAAACAAAAGAAATAAATGATACTTTAGTTAATTACAAGTACTATAAAGCAAATAAGACTAGAAGGTGATGCTAAGCAGTGATCAGTGGAAATGAAGACCATATACATTGCATAGTCAGGGTCCCTCCCTCATGAGGGGACATGTGTGCTGCAAGAAAACCAGCCACACCAGCAGTCTGTGGAGAGGGCAAAGTAAGTGAACAGTCTAAGATAGAAATAAGCTTAGCAATCTCCAGGGAGGAAATGGACACTGTGCCTGGGAGCTCAGGAACTAGGGGAAAATGGTAAGAGTAGGCAGGCTATAGTCAACTGGGTTTTTTAGAGTCACAGAAGTTTGGAATTTATTCTGAGTACACTGGAAGGCTATAGAAGGGTTTGATAGCTATGATGCAGAATGGTTTGGGCTGGTTTACACTTTGGAAAGCCTTCTCTGTACCAGAAATGGATTATACAGTAGAATGACCAATGAAGAGATTATTTCAGTAGCTTATTTGAAATGCAGGATTCTGGCTGGAATGAGGGTAGAGACAGGAATGGGTAAGCACTAGTGATGTGGTCTTAAAGGAGATGGAGGAAGCAATGCAGCAGGAAATAAATGAAGTTTGAAATAAATATTGCAATAAACATGAGAATAAAGCAGAGAAGTAACATTACTTCCCCATTGTTGATGTTATTGATATCTGGCTAATAGCTTTCTCTAACTACTCTTTCAGTGTCCTGACATAACTCCTATTTTGTCTTTATTGTCTCCTTTCTATGCAACCTTATCTAAACCTTATCAGGCCACAGTGACAGATTTGATATGATTTTTAAAAAATCGCTACTGTCTTGAGATCACTAGCTATACTTAGAAATCCATTTCATGTAACAGGTATTTAAAACTAAGGAATTATCTTTTGCACAATGTGAGAAGAGAGAAGTGCACCTGGCCGAGTATGAACATTCACCATTTAACATGCACTTAGAACTAGGATGCCTGTCCAGGGGTTACTACTTCCTCTGCTCTAACTTCTTTGCCCTCTGGCTCGGTATGAGTCACATATATTACAAATAGCTCAGCCAGGGTGTTAAATTATTGTTTTCTATTCTGGAAAGACTCAGACTAATGGGTACTTCTACAGTAAAGAGAAAGCAACAATATAAGTCAATCAAACTAAAGTATTTGCCAATGTGATAAATACTTTTGCCTTTGTCAGAAGGGAGAGAAAACAAGTAACAATAGTATAGTATTTATCTTACAGGATTTCATTTTTCCTAAAAAGCACATAACCTTAGAGAGAATATGCTCACAATGGTAGCATATATTTAAAATCTAAATATGAATAAACTTCATTAATCATGTCAGCAGTCCTATTCTATAACCCATTTCCTTGCTGCTGATAAATAGACTATAAGAAGTCATGTGAAAGCAAGTGAGGTGGGTCATCATTTTCTTTTTAGTTTATTCTTATGCATCTGACAGGATGGCCCTAGAACCCCCCTAAGGTTGCCTGAACAGATGGGCTTCTTCAGAAGCCTCTGACTTCCCTTTTCTCACGGCACCTGCTGCAGAAATTTTTCCATTATAAATTCATTCTCTGCCTCTTAGGGATGTAAATCTTCTACAACCCCCCAAAAAATGTCTTTCTCAAGGACCAGGAAGCCATATAAAATGTAATCATCAAGAAAGAGAGCATCCCTATCTCCCAGGCTCTGTAGGAGGGTGTGAATCTAACTTCAATATATGCCAATTAGAAAAACAAATGACCCAATCACATTGATCAGCTCTCCACTAACACCCTCCAGTACTTTGCCAGCTGTCCAATGCTTAAAAACCCTCCTGTTGGAAGTGGCGCTGTAGCTTAAGTGGTAGAGCGCTCGCCTTGAGTTGAAGAACTGAGGGACAACGCCCAGGCCCAGAGTTCAAGCCCCACGACCGACAAAAAACAAACAAACAAACAAACAAAAAAAAACCCTCCTGTCTTCTCTTCGGTGGAACTGAATTAAATCTCTCTCCCCTGTCACAATACTTCTTCTCTCTCTCTCTCTTTCTGTTTTTATTTTGGTGATGGTACTGAAGCTTAAATGCAGGGCCTCATGTTCTTGCTTGGTTTTTTTGCTTGAGGCTGTTACTCTACCATTTGAGCCACAGCTCCAGTTCTAGCTTTTACTGGTTGTATGAAGAATCTCTTGGATTTGTCTGCCCTCCCTGGCTTGGAAGTTCCATACTTAGATCTCAGCCTCCTGAGTAACTAGGATTGCAGTGCTAGATACTCCTCTTGCAATATTCTTAGATTGTCTTTGTTGCTTCACCATGGTGGGTATGATTTTTTTTTGACACACATCGAAGCTGTAGAGGGAAGATTTAAACAGAGTTACACTACGTAAGTAGATGGGTTGGTAGAATAAATGTCCCATAAACCCATAAATGGTGGTAATAATTGGGGACCTGGATGGTCATACATATGGAAGACCCTTAAAACTATTACATTACCATCATGCTCTAGGCTTTATACCTTGAGAAGTGGAGGAGGCTCATGGTCCATGTTATGCCTCTGAATAATGGTTAAATATGTGGAGGGAAAATATACTTCCAAGAATGTCTTCTCAGTCACCCAGATGGGTTCATATTTCACTCTCAAAGAGCTTAGCTGGTTCATAAGGGGAGAAGGGCTGTTTGAACAATGAATCATGAGTAGAACCTTATTCCTAAAGGGATAAGAAGAAAATTCTGGTGTGAGTAATGCACACAATGAAAGGGAAAAAGGTGACAGAAGTGGTGGTGGAGAATATTCTTACAAATGTATCTAAAGTAAATGTGGTATTAAGAGTTAACCTCTTTTAATGTTACCAACATACAAGATGTCCCAGGGTAGTAATCTAAAAGCAAATTGTCACAAGAATTCTTACAAGTCACAAGGATAATGAAGTTAGGAAGATGTTATGATTGTGACTACTGGAGCTACCCTCCAATGCCCTCAAACTCAGATGAGACGCACCAAAGGAAAGAGATGAGCCCAGTTTCAATCATATGGAAGCTAGGCTTGTCCCCTTCAACATCTGAAATTCCTCTATTTTTCTGAATATTTTTATTATATTTAAATAGTTGTACAAATGAGTTGCCGTTCATCAAAGCAGTTTATGAGTACGTAGGCATTTATTCAACCGAGCACAAACAAGGCACACTAAAGGTACTACTGGCACAACCATGCTCACTGTAACTTTATTTACCATAGCCAAGATATGAAATCATGGGGATGGATCAAGAAAATGTGGTATATATACACAATGCTTCCATCAGAAAGAATGATATTGTATTATTCATAGGGAAATGGAAAGAATTGCAAAACCTGAAATTTAATGTCCATTATAAGCTATTAAGGCACAACACCCGGTATCACCCTTAAGAGGTGAGGGTTCTCCCCTTATGAATAGTCTAGTCCATACATGTGATTAGTGGATTAAGGCATTATCTTGAGAGTGGGCTTTCTATTACAATAAGTGTCAATAAGTTTCTCACCTGTAATGTTCTGTGTATCCTTGGGTCTCTGCCAGCAGAGAGGCCATGCAGTTCAGCCATTTGATGTTGAAGCAGAACCATAAGCCAAAATAAATCTCTTCACAAATTACACTTTCTGTGACACTCAGCTATTAGTAACAAAATATGAAATATGATAGCTACATTCTCAGATTGGTGTATTGGATAAGCAAGAGTTTCAAACAATAACCAATAGCAGATACTGTGTTGTTGAGATAAGCATCTGGACTGTAATACAGGACAAGACAAAGGCTAAGGGGGAAACCGGTTTGGGACAGCTCACACTCACAAGGAAGCCCAGGAAAAGAAGTCAGTGACCAGATGATGATCAGGGAGGTTTGAAGGAAGTTTTACTGTCAGACACAGGGCACATAAAGTTGAAATATAAATCCACTAGGCAAACAAAAATGACTAATACAAAGACCAAAATGTATTTCTGTTGTATTGTCCACTACCAGGAAATCTTCCTGTTAGTAATTTTTAGCAATCTAGTGAA